GATAAGAGTCTCACGGATTTTCCTGCCTGGGCTGGCTTTGAACCATGATCCTCAGATCTCAGCCTCCTGAGTAGCTAGGATTATAGGCATGAGCCACCAGCGCCTGGCCTGGCTTTTTCTGTTTATGTGGTACTGAGGAATGGAACCCAGGGTTTTCATGTATGCTACGCAAGTACTCTACCACTAAGCCACATTCCCAGCCCAGCATAGTTTTTCTTTCTTTTTTTTTTTTTTGGTAGGTCATGGGCCTTGAACTCAGAGTCTGGTCGCTGTCCCTTAGCTCTTCAGCTCAAGGAGAGCACTCTACCACTTGAGTCACTGCCGGAGCCTAAAGGGAATCCTGATTTAGGGGGTGAGGATGAGGAAAAAGACGTAAGACAAAGGATGGGGTCGAGAGGTCTGCAGCTCAAGACTGTAGCCCTGTTTATATTTAACTTTCCCTAATATATACTATTAGAAGTCAAGACATAACATAAGGTTACAATAGTCCAGAAAAACAAGAAAATTTTAGTAACAACAGAGTACAGTAAAAACAAGACAAGGTCAGCTGGTAAAAAGGAAAACAAACTCTGCAGACATAGCAAAGCAATCTCGGGTACTTGGTGTTTTTTTTGTTTTTTGTTTTGAGGGAGGAGGTCCAGTCGTGGGGCCTGAACTTGGTCTGGGCGCTGTCCCTCAGCTCTTCAGCCGAAGGCTAGCGCTCTACCACTTGAGCCACATCTACACTTCCCGCTTTTTTCTTTTTGCTTATGTGGTACTGAGGAATCGAACCCAGGCCCTCAGGCTTGCAAGGCAAGTGCTCTCCCACTGAGCCACCTTCCCAGCCCTAACCTGGTGTTTTTTAAGTAAGCCAGTTTCTTGTACGTGCCTTTAAATGAACACAGGGGTCAAGATGACCTTAAACTTTACTGTTGGCTCCCAACATCTCCCCCATCTTTGTTTAAAGAAGTGAACCCGCCTGTCTTAGGTTGGGTGGGTAATCTTGTCTGTCTTACCCATCATGGGGAACTTTTTTAGAGCGAAGCTGAAGGCCCTGTCTTAGTTTGGTCAGACTGGTCTTACCTGTCTCTGGCTGCAGTTCCTCTTGGGGGGAATTTATTTATATGTAGCTGGCTGGCTAAACTCATAAGAGAGTTTTGCAGTGCACATATAATACAAGGAAGGCATAGAAAAACCATCAGCAAAAACATTCCCAGGCCAAGCAATGACATTAGCAATCCTTTAACATAAGTCAGGGAAGGGATATAGCACTGAAATTGTTTAAACCGTTTTTTAACAGTTTTTGCCACTTTAGAGTCCAGAGGCAGGGCTTATTTTAATCTGGCTATTTGTCTGTGGAGTTGAAAAAGATCTAAAGATAGGTTTTTATGGTGCCAAATACCATTGAGATGTGCTACAACTTTTTCCCATGAGTAATTTGATTCATTATATATATGAGGGGGTCACAAAAAAAAATCAAGCCTGGCATGACAGTGCATTCGCTGTAAAGTTTGCAGAGCACGGACTTGTTTTCATAAAGCTAATACTGACACATACAATGCTTCTAGTTAGTGTAGAGCCTGTGTAGTATTATGAGCAAGCTGATTAAACTAATGGGCAGTTTGTACTTTTTGTGTTAGCGCCACAGTAGCTGCTGCTGCGGAGGCAGCTAACGAAATAAAGGCCAAAGCATCAGCTACAAGTAGCCCAACAAATCGACGAGGGCGCATTAGTTCTTTTAATTGATTTAGCACCTGAATGCCAGAATCTTTATACCAAGTTTTAGAAATATTTACAGGAAGCATAACAAAAGGTGGTTGTCTAACAGTAAGTATGGATTTAGTTATGTCGCTATGCAAGCAATTAGTAAAAGAACAATTAGAGCAGGTAGCATTAAAAAAATAATTAGCTCCTACAGAAATATTAAACGGTCCATACATAATGACATAGGGTGGTGATATACAACTATAATTTTTTTTTAAAGGATGAATTGGGCCAGGTTATGTTGTTGAGTGCAGCCACCAGCATCCAAACATGATGTTGAGGGTGTTCATTCATCCACCACAGTCCAAGATTGTACTTATTAGTAAGATTAGCTCCAGACCAGTCCATTAATTTAGTTCCAGAAATATTGGTAACAAATGGCTGTACATGCCTGTACCTTATTGGATGAGGCTCTCCTGTAGATTCTACTATTTGTGAAGAATTAATGTAATGGGGTATCATATAGGATGGAGTAGAATTTGCATAAACTGGATGCCCAGTTGGCAAGGATGTCATCTGCATATTGTACATTTGATTTTTGTCCGGGATCCAAATTTTATGAGTCATGGATAGCATTATAATACAGACTGGAATGGAGCCTGAAGAGCTGGTGGTAAAGCATAAAGGAGTTCCAATGCCTGAAGCTGAGATATCTCCCATCTTGGTGTGCTGGATGAAGGGATGGGGGATTGTACTGTATGCTGATCTATTGACATGAATGAGTACTTTAACTCCCTCCCAAGTTGTAGGGTGCACAGTCGGGGGATCCAGCACATAAGCCCAATGTGTCAGGGTTTGTATCATCTGAATGAGCCTCCACAATCCTAACTCAATGCTCAGGCAACCAGCAGGATTTATTTTCTTCCTGCGAAAAAACACAAACATGTCCTTGACCCCATGTTAAAACCGGATTGGGCCTGTGCCAATCACCTGTTAAAGGATCCTTCCACTTAACTTGGGCAAAAGCTCTTTGCTCTCTTTTTTCCCAAAACCGCTGTGCTGTGGAAAGGCCATTACAATCTAAACTTAAAAAATTTAGTACAAATAAAGCATGAGAAGAATATTAACAGGAGAGAAGGGGTATAATTCCCCCCTTTTAATTTAAAAATTTGGTGTTTTAACAGCCCATTGGCTTGCTTAACAATTTCTTGTCCTTGAGGATTATAGGTAATACCTGTAGAGTGAACAATCTGGTAAGATTTACAAAAAATTTGAAAAGCTTGTCAGACATATCCTGGACCATTATCAGTTTTAATATATTTAGGAAGTCCTATAGTGGCAAAGCAGTGTAGGGAATGAGCAATACAATGTTTGCTAGTCTCCCCGGCAAGAGGAGTACCCATAATAAAATTAGAGTAGATATATGGTAACATGGACAAAGCGAAGCCATCCAAAAGATGGAATCAGGCAGGAGTTTAGTCTACTTTTTTACAGTGGAGGTAGGGTGACTGTCAGGCTGTAGCAGCAGCAGCAGCAGGGTCTCTCAGAGGCTCCAAGGGACTGTCACACCTCGTGCTGAGCTATAAATTTCTACACACACTGGTTAAGGATACAAGTAATACATAGGTTTGGCAGGCTGTGGCCCCACTAGTTTTTAAGACTATTTAGACGGTAGCCCAGGACAATTTACCAAGATGACAATTTTTTAACTAGATAGTTCTTTTAATAAGGCTGATTTTCTAGGCAGATATAGAGGGCTCAGGCCTGTACTACTATTTTCCTGTCTATTTTGTCACTTTTTTTTTTTTTTAATGACTGGTCCCTTGTTCTAAAAAGGGGATGATGGGCAAATATTCATCTTCTATCACTTCATCAAGCTGACTCAGGAATGTTGATCCTACCTAGCCAGGAACCTATAACCTTAGTCTATTTTACAAAGAGGTTACCAGCGTTAGATGTCATTAAGAACAATATTTTAACTTTTGACAAAAGCACCGACTTTTTTCCCGGTTACAGCAGTGTAGCTTGTTTAGCACTCTGGTTTGTAAAAGCATCTTTAGGAATGTGACCTCTAGTGACCCTAACAATGCCTAAGTCACCTGTGCAGGCCTTTAGACAGATGTTAATAGAAACACACTCTCAGGTTTACAAACTTTTTTTTTTTCTTTTTTTTTTGGAG